TGTCTTGCTGGATCTGAAGGCAGCACCGTCTGCACACAGCACACGGCCCGTGCTCGAACCCCTCCCAGCAAGCGCTCCACCCATTAGGACTCAGTTTTCCCCCTTTGGGAGAGTTTTTGCACTGTGGTAATATACAGTTTAGACTTAGTCACTTTTTATTATCAAATATTCCAAGTAATCAGCCAGACATCAGAAAACACAGTGAACACCACCACATGAGCCTCTTCTGCATTAGCATTTCGCTTGGTTCACCTTCGATTTTTAAGAGACAAAGTAGAAGGGTGTAATTATGCAGTTCCTCGGCTGGCTGCCTGTCTCAGGGTACCAGGATAAAACCGTCACCATCTACCTACTTGCTGATAAAAACGAAAGGCTGGCAAATCTGTGTTGGAATGAACACACACAGCATCCTCCAAGTTACTGCATATGTATGTACAGCTTCCACTTGACTAGAAAGGTCGTCACTGTCCCCTCATCTGTCATTCCCATGAACAGTCCCGTCCACTACACAAACAAGTGTGTCACCAGTAGGCCTCGCCAACAGGTGGTACCACTGGCCGCCTTCTCACTTCCCAAGCTAAAGAGGATCCTATCGTTCTGATTTACATATCCGGGTTATAACTGAAATTGCCCATCTTTTCAGGTTGATTAGCCATTTCTGTTTACTTTTACTCTAACCTGTTTCAGTTTCCACTCTTTTTCTACTGGAAAATATACCTTTAAAAAAATTTATTCTTCTGTAAGTTTTTTCAATAGTCAAGATAATATACCAGATGTGGTGCTACACACCTGCAATCTCAGCACTCTGAGAGGCTGAGGCACAAAGATTGCAAATTCAAGTCCATCCTGGGTAATTTAGCAACTTAGCAGGACCAACTCACAAAATAAAATATAAAAAAGAGCTGGAGATGCAGCTCTGCACAAAAGCCTGGGTTCAATCCCTAGTACCACAAAAAAAGAAAAAAAAAATCAAGATGCTTGCTATTTGTTAGTGACACTGCAAATACGCTCTCACGTTTGCCTTGTCTATATTTTTCTCTGATGTTTTAAGACATTCTTCCTTGTAAGAATATCATGAAGACAGCCTCTTGTATTTCCTTTTAATAGCTGTACCTTATACATTCAGGTCACCAAGTGTCCTGAAGCTCACTTTTATGAATGGCATAAAGCCGCATCTCATTTTGGACCAGCAAGTGCTCCGATCCAATTTCCTGCCGGGTTCATCATCTCCCCATCCATGTGTCAGGCCACCTTGATCAGACAGTAAATTCTTACAAGGGTAGGTCTGCCAAGAGACTCCATCATTCCCATTGTTTTTTGTGTCTGTCCCTCTCACATCATAACCCCACACACACTTAAAAAACATGGTACAATTTTTTCTTTTTTAATCAATACCGGGGATCGAACTCACGACCACCTGCTTGCAAGGCAGGTGCTTATGCTGCTGAGCTAAATCCCCAGCCCATAAAACATGATACAATTTACAAAGCACTTTCAAACCCATTACCCAACTCAAACTTCCAAACAGTCCTGTCAGTCAGGTGCTACTATTCACATTTATTCGAATGCAGACACAGAGGCCCATAAAGTTCAGAAAATTATTCCTGGTCACAAGACAGTGAGGGAATGAGGACCCCGTCTCACACCCTCAGTGCCGCCTCCTCCCACCTGACTGTCAGGTAAGGAAAGGGCAGTGTCTCCCAGATGGGTCCCACACCAAGCTGCAAATTTCATCATATCCAACTCAGACCAATCAAAACCCCCATAAATGAGCAAATGCTCTGACATGTATGGTTGCTGGCACACAGCCAGGCACGATGGTCACCCGGAATATAAACTGGAGAGAAAAGAAACCCTACCCTGGCTGCCTCTTGCTTCTGGGCTCCTCAAGTAAAGACAAGGCCAGCACTCGAAGCTGGGCTATGCGTTCTCCTATGGGACATAAACTATCTCACAGAATACTAATCTCAGACAAGTTTAACTCTGTAACCTTGATAAAAGATTACCCAACCCACACAGATTCACAGATTAACACACAGCAAACATGCTAGCCACAAATCAATCTCTCTCACTGTCTCTCTCTCTTTCTGTCTGCCAAAGTATAATTTTTCTGCACTTAAGTTCCATTGCTCTGCCAGTCCTCCCTCCTTACAGATAAGATTATCAAAATGGGGACATGGCAGTGCAGTCCTATAATCCTAGCATTCTGGGAGGCTTGGGCAAGATCAGCCTGGGCAACTTAGCAACTTGGTGAGACCCTGTCTCAGAATTGACAAAAGAAAAAAGAGAACTAAAAAAGATTGGCCTGAGTTGAATATGATGGCACATGCCTATAATCCCAGCAGTCCGGAGACTGAGGCAGGAGGATTGCTGCAAGTTTGAGGCCAGCCTCGGCTACACAGTGAGTCCTGGCCAGGCCAAACGAGCAAGATCCTATGGCAATAAATAAATAAAAGGCTGGCATACTTGTAGCTCAGTGCAAAGGCCTGAGTAGAATTTCAAGGACCACCATCCCCTCATGCCTGCCAAAAATTATTAGACAGCCAATGAGCAGAATTACCCTGCTTTCTGACAGCATCTGATCTACAGTGAATGCCCACTCCCTTAACCCCCCCCCCCCCCCCCCCCCGCCATCACCAATGCCCAAATCTGAGAATCCATTCTAACACCCTCTTAATGAGGCACCACCCCAGGGCTCCCCAGATAGTGTGCTCTCCTGGCTGCAGGGCATAATGCTACACCCAGCCCACTGAACTCCAGCTGTGTTCCTGGAGTCTGCTGGCTGTAGTACGTTAGCACTGTATGAGTCAGACATCACAAATACCAGTATCTAAGTCTCTGTCTTTCTCTTTCTAGAAAGTTCTCTTACTATCTAGAGGGCAAAAATGTTCTCCATTTCTGGAAGTCACATCTAAATGAAAGCAAGATTAACAAATCCCTTTAACAGCAGAGACCTGGTTCTACATCCAACTCCAAGTTCACACTCATGAAAAAAATCTTTGTTTTTCTGTGACAATTTTCCTTCTAGAAGTAGGGAGCTTCGGTCTATGACTCAGCTTTGTAAATTTGTGGTATCTTACACACATCAGGAGTTCTTGATAGGTTGTTTTTAAACTAATGTTGGTTGAAATGAATGCCTCAGAATCATGGATAACTATCTCAAAAAAAATCAAACCTCACTGAGGAGAAAAAAAAACCTCGTGGTATTTTTTTTTTTTTTTTTTTTTTTTTGCAAAAAGCTTAAATCTCTCTTCAAAAGAAAATTTCAGGGGCTGGGGATTTAGCTCAGCGGCATAAGCACCTGCCTTGCAAGCAGGCGGTCGTGAGTTCAATCCCCGGTACCAATAAAAAAAAAAAAAAAGAAAGAAAATTTCCTTTTTTCCTCCATCCAAATATTTTTTCGCTTTACATATTTTAAACATATAGCTCCATGTTTCTAAGTATACCAATATGATTAACCCATGTGTTCATGTTTGTTAACAGGTTTAGAATTTTCAAGAACATAAATAGTGTGCATTTTTTATTTGCCCAACAATTTCCATTTCCTTCCATAATCAGTCATTTCCCTGAAAACATCTTTTCTACTTGTAGCTTCAAAGATATACTAGAATATTCTATCCTTATTGCATGATACACATTTAGAGAGGGCACAGTCGGCTTAATAAAAATTTACAGACAGTTACTAACGTAAGAACTTCTTTATTTCTCATTGGAAGACCTCTCTCTAGATGGGGATTTTGATCCTTATCCACAAAAGATTTTGTTTGATTTTGGGTTTTTTTCTATTTCAGTAAAGCACCCTGGAGCAGGGTAAGAGAGGGCACAGAACACTTATTCATCCTCTGATAGGAAAGTGTAACTCATGTTGGTTTAACACATTAAATGCCATAGCCACTTAAAGACATTCTGGCTTGGGAGGGTGCTGTACTGGGGAACCCAGTACTCTCACACTGAGCTACAGTCCCAGCCCTATTTTAAGATAGGATCTTGCAAAGTTGTCCAGGCTGGGCTCAACCCTGAGCCTCCTGCCTCAGCCTCCCAGAGTTCTTGGATTACAGGCAAGCACCACCCAGCTCAGCTATCTTCATCTTTCAAGAGAAAAACGGGTTTGTATTTCAGAAGCCAAGATTAAAGCAAAGGTTATCGTCAACAAAATCAAAGCAACACTGTGCATAGTGCCAGACAACATCCCTGCCAAACTGACAAAATCCAATCTGTGATTCAGAGAATGTGAGAGTTCACGGGAGTGAACGAGGTTACAAAGTACTACAGAATAATGCCAAAGAGACCAGGGAGTAAAGATGACGGTAGAAAGAACATTCCAGACTGAAAACTGCAGTTCCTCGGAATGGAATCCAGGATGATTTGAAAAAAGCCATGGAGTTCACTGGTCCTGAATCTCCACTACTGGGGGGCTTCGCTTGCTCACATTACGGGGCCAGTGAAATCAAACATAAACGCTTCGTATGACCAAAGATGATATTTAAGTTCTCAATGCAACTCAGCAAACCTGATTGCTCAGCCCTCAAAGGTGCGGGTGTGCTTCCTGAAGGGTTTGTGAGTTTTAAAATCAAGAGTAACAATGATCTCCAACACAGAACTGCCGGGAAGCCACCCCTAACCCCCCCCCAGGGCGCCCGAGGACCCCGCAGGAGTTCTGGACGTCCAGCAACAACGGTCACACCACGGTACAGACCACAGAGCTCGTCCCACACCGCGAGGAGCTCCCGGGCCGGGCTCAGGCTCCTCCCCAGGCCCAGACTGCGAACAAAAGGCGGCGCGGGGCAGTCAGAGGCCGCGCCTGACTTGCCGGGCTCCCTTGACACCTGAGGCGCTCGGAGGTCGAGGCAGGGGCGCCTGCAAGCCGCCGGCCAAACGCGACCCGCAGAGCACGCTGGCGCAGTGCAGGCGCCCGGCACACACGGGGGCAAAGCAGCTGCGGTTCCGGAGGGCACCAGAGCACAACCCCCGGGCTCCCTGCCGCCCGACCCGGCCTTTACCTGCACGTCGCTCAGCTCCACGCGCAGATACAGCTCGCGGTGCCGCTGAGCCCAGTAGACGTGCGGCGTCAGCACCTGATTCTCCATAATCACGGTGCCCAGGGAGCGGGAGACTCGGCTCACGGCGCCTGGCTGCCTCTGGTCGTGCACGGCTGGAGCTGAGCGAACGCAGGCCGCAAACCCCAGAGCACCCCAGCGCCCGCAACCGGGTCGTCTCCAGAAGCCTCACGCTCGCGGGCTGCGTCTGCGCAGTGACGGCCGGGAGGCACACCAAGGCGTGGGCGGGCCCAGCGGCAGCGCGAGCCAGGAGTGGGCGGGGCGGCGGAAAGGGGCGAGAAAGGGCGCGGTGACGTCATAGCTCGCAGCGGCTTCCTGGGAGTTTCCTCCTCCTGTGCTTCGCTGGGCGACGTCTCCCGAGCAGTTTAGCTGGAAAACGTTCTGAGAGGCGTGGCCGGCGCGGGACAATGGTTTGGGGCTGGTGTCTGGGGTCCTATTTTATCACCCCTTAATTTGCCCCTTACTGACCACGTCGGGCGCACCTCGGCCTCAAAGCAGGCCTGGCTCAAACTTCTGCCTCAGCCTCCCAGAGTGCTGGGATTTCAGACGTGGGACAACAGCCAAGCTCGAGGGACTCTTGAACACTTGGTATGTGACTAGGGAGACTGAAGAACTGAATTTTAATTTAATAGTTAAATAGCCAGGCTAGGAATGTTGCTCAGCGGTACAGCGGTTGCCTAGCATGTGCAGGGTCCTGGGTTTGATCTCCAGCACCACCACCATCAATAATAATAATAATAGTTAAGTAGTGATGTTATGACTGGCGGCCATTCTGTGGGATAATATGAAGGCACAAATCACATCTGTCACCACTTTCATCTCCAACTTCTGCAGTAAAAATTTTTGTGAAATCTAGAACTCAGAGACAAAAAAAAAAAAAAAAAAAATGGAGCTCGGGTCTTTTAACTCCCATTTATTTCTGAGCACAGGATTATAGCGATAACAGAAATCATGCCAGCTCCCAGGAAACTGGGTGAGTCATTTAAAACGTAGAGGACATGCTATTACTAATAAAAGTTTTAAATAAATATAGTTAGGATTCAAGATGGTGGATGTTTGAGCTCACACCAGGGTCCGGATGCTGACGAGGGTTGGAGGGGAAACAGAGGGAGCGTTGACAGCAGCAGCAGCAGCAGCAGCACAGGTTAGACATGGGGACCGAGGCCCAGTCCAAAAGGGAAGAGATATGGACAGTTGTGTGACCCAGGAAATAGGGGCCTGGGTTAGGGTTAGGGACTTTGCCCCGAATTGGAGAGCTAGATAAGCAGTAGATTGAGAAAGCCTTTGTTTGTTCTGGGCATGATCACTGGGAACCCAGAGAAGTTTGGTAAATGATTACCGAAAGCAAACGTGCCCTGAGCAAGAGGACCTGTAGGTTGGGAGAGCTGGCTGCAGGGAAGGCAGGTGCGGAGTTGTGCAATCTGCCCAATAGGAGACCAGGAAAGCAGTGATCTGTCAGCCTCGAATTTCAAAAGCTAAGATGTTATTTGAAATGATAAAGTATCTTTATTGCCCTACCTGTACTCCAAAGTAAATACATTACAGAACACTTTTTAAAAAATCGAAATATAATTTACAGGAAATGTGCCAATCTTAAATGTTCAGCTTATGATGAGTTTTTACATGCATTTCAGAGTGTGTGATTGTCACCCAAATCAGGATCCCAGAGGTTACCTCATGACAATATATCTTGGCCTCACATCTCTCCCTCTGTTATTTGCTTTCCATCAGATCAAATAAGATAACCATAGAATGGGATTTCTCTAAATTTCATGTAAATGAAGCCTAGAGTATGCACACTTTTCTGTCTGGATCCTTTCATTTGACATAATGTATATGAGATTTATCCATGTTGTTGTATTAGTAGTCAAATCTTTCCTATTTCTGCTGTGTTGCACTTAATTGTACAACTGTACTACAAAATTCTTTACCCACTCTGTTGATGGGTGTTTGTGTTTTTAGCTAAAGAAAAAGCTGCTAAAAAAATAAAAAACAAAAATAAAGCTGCTGAGCATGGTAGCACATGCCTATAATCCTTGCTCTCCGAAGGCTGAGGCAGGAGGATTGGCACGAGTTCAAGGCCAGTTTGAGCTGCATAGTGAGACACTGTCTCAAAAAATGAAAGCGAGAAAGAAAGAAAGAGCAAGCTGCTATGGACATTTGTAGGCCTGTCTTTGGTGAATATATGCACTTAATTCTCTAGGGTAAATAGAACTGGAACTGCCAGGGTATAGGGTAGGTGTGTGCTTAGCTTTAGTAGATATACTACGCAGTTTTATGGAATGTTTCCATTAGTTTCCACTGTTACTAATGAGGTTTGAAAATTGTTAAGTGGTGGGCTGGGGATACAATTCAGTGGCATAAGTACCTGCCTGGCAATTGCAAGGTCCTGAGTTCAATTTTTGGTACCAAAAATAAAAAGGAACTAGTTTGAAAATTGTAAGTGCGCTATAGCTTTGGTATTTTCAATCTTGTAACATTTAGCTGCTGGGCCAAAAATACAGCTCAGTGGTGCAGTGCCTCCCAGAGAAGCACGAGGTCCTGAGTTTGATTCCTAATACCCACATAAATTTTAGCTTCTCTGATAGATGCAAAAGGAAATACAAAATAAGTTTAACCCAATATATCTGAAACTTAAGGCAAATCTGCCATTATGGCTTGTATCTGAATGTTCCCCAAAACTTCATGTAGTCACAGGTGGGACTTTTCAGAGGTGGCTGCATCTAGAGTGTGTGACACTGGGATCAAGGGTGGGTGGTTACTAAATTAGTCCGCTGATTGGTTTGGCATAGTTCTAGGAATGGATAATGGGAAAGCCTGCTCTGGGTGTGAGTACTGCCACCCAAAGAGTGTGTAGTAGCCTGCATAGAATGAGAGTCAGAAAGAGGAAGGTGCCATCACACTGCTTGCTGCTTTGCTGCCTTTCTGTCTTCTGCCCTCCATGAGCTGTTTCTCCTCAGCAATGCACCTCTGCCACGCCACCCTCCCTCCAGCCAGCAACTACTGAACTGAAACCTTTCTAAATGTGAGCTGAAAAAACCTTTGCACTAGTAACTTTGGATGTCAGGTAAATTATCTCAGCAATGAGAAAAATAACTAAGCCATCTGCTGACCTGTAGGCAAGATAAAAGTTACTGATACACAAGAAGCTTAAACCTTGGCATTTAAGACAGTGGGCAGTAGCTGTCCAGCTGGGTCAACTGCCACTCGTGAACTGTACTATAGCTTTTCTGGGTCACAGTTCCCACATCCATCAATGAGCCACTTCTAACATTCTTTTTTTTTTTTTTTACTTTTTTTTTTTTTGTCTTTTTCCTTTTTATCAGTACCAGGGATCGAACTTATGACTGCCTGCTTGCAAGGCAGGTGCTTATGCCACTGAGCTAAATCCCCAGCCCCTACTTCTAACATTCTTATCAGCCTTTTCCAAATCTTCCTGCCAAAAAAGGCCCAGCCTCTCTTGAGGGGAACTCAGTTAGAAAAACAATTGAGACTTGGATTGGTGATATGTACATGTAACCCAAAGTACTCTGGGAGGCCGAGGCAGGAGGATTGCAAGTTCAAGACCAACCTATGGAATTTAAAGAGGTTGTGTCTCAAAATAAAAAATTTAAAAGTACTGGAAATGTGTGAAGGCCCTGGATTTAATCCCTGGTAGGGAGGTGATTTAAAGGGCAGAACCAAGTGGTAGGGCCAAGCAGAAATGTAGGGCTGAGGGTTTTGTGTTGAGATCACTGGAAGTACTGTCCATGTGCCTTCTGGGTGACACTGTCCCAGGCCCGTTCAACCAGGAGCCACCTCAGTGTGTCCTCAATCAGCCATCACCACCACAGGAAGCATTTGCTGCTTACCTGCCTCTACTGAAGCTATACCATTGCCGAGCCTAGCTTCCTGCCCTTGGCCTCCAGTCACGCACATCTTTGCTGTTGACTTTTATATAGAATCCTGTATTCCTGGAAGAGGGTTTTTTTTTTTCTTTTTAACAAAATAAGAGCTGTTAAATCTGCTATTTCACACCTCGATGATGCATGGAACACCGAGTCAGTTATCCATAGCAAAATCAGGCTCCTTTGTCTAAATAGGGTGGAACTGAGGGTGGGGAGAGAAATGGACTGGATCAGCACAGACATATAGTGGGAAAACTCACAGTCAGATCATGCATCTGGAGCTTTCTGGCTGTGCCAGGAGCATGGGTGTTGAGGCCCTGCTTAACCAGAAAAACCTTCCTTCTGCCCGTCGTCCAAGGTACAGAGGGAGATTTGGAGATGGCCCCCCTCAGGACTGGGCTTTATATCCAAATACCAATGCATCCAACTAATGGTTATAACAAATCAAATAACCACTCATACAGTTGTAATGGAGTATCTCAATACTCCACTGTCACAAATAGATCGACTAGACAGAAAAATCAACGATAAAATACTAGAACTGAACCACAGTTTTGAATAAGTGGACTTAGTAGATGTCTACAGAGTGCTCCAATGCACATCATCAGACTATACATTTTTCTCAACTGCACATGGTACATTCTCCACAATAGACCACGTATTGGCTCCTAGGACATGTTTATGTAAATGCAAAGGAATCGAAATGATCCCGTGCATATTACCTGACCATAGTGCAATGAAACGAAATCAATGGCACAAGAAACTACAAAACTTAATAGACACATAGAAATTAAATGACACCCTCCTGACAACCAATGGATCAGAAATGAAATTAAAGAATAAATTAGTTTCTACAATTAATTGATGATGCCAATACAACATACTGAACTTGTGAGAAACAATGAAAGCAATCCTATAAGGCAAATTTATAGCACTGAATACCCATAAAGGAAAATAGAGTAAGCTCAAACAACCTAATGTTGAACCTCAAGCTTGTAGAAGAAGAGAAGATCAAGCCCAAAGCTCATAAAAAGGAAAAAAATTATAAAGTTCAGAACAGAAATTAATGGAATTAAGAAAGCAAAGTAAGAAAACAAACAGTGGCTGGGGATTTAGCTCACAGGCTCAAGCGCTTGCCTGATAAGCGTGAGATTGTTCCATCCCCAGTACAAAAAAAAAAAAAAACCACACAAAGAATCAATGAATCAAAGAATTGGTTTTTTTGAAAGACTAAATAAAATTGACAAACCCTTAGGCAACCTTATTAAAAAAGACTCAAATCCATGCAATTAGGAATGAAAAGAGTGAAATCACGACAGAACCTGCAGAAATTCAGAAGACCAGCAATACCTACTTTGAGAACATGTATTACGATGGAAAATATAGAAGAAATGGAGAGATTCCTATGAATCAATAAGTTACAGAAATTCTGAATAATCCAGTATCAGTGGATGAAACTGAAAATGTGGTTAAAAACCTACCAACCACATTTCATCTGTGCTACTTATAGAAGTCATGTTGGGGCTGGGGATTTAGCTCAGCGGCATAAGCGCCAGCAGGCAGTCGTGAGTTCGATCCTTAGTACTGATAAAAGGGGGGGGGTGCTGGGGATTTAGCTCAGCGGCATAAGCACCTGCCTTGCAAGCAGGCAGTCATGAGTTTGATCCCTGGTACCAATAAAAACGAAAAAGACAAAAAAAAAAAAAAAAAAGTCATGTTGAGCACCAAATATAGAGGTCCCTCTCATGATGTTCTAAGAAGTTTATATTTGTAATCCCATGGAAAAGTTATTGGAATTTAGCAAGTTAATTCCAATGTACCACCTCCAGTGCAAACCACATTGAGGATAAAGAAACTAAGACATATTGATAGTTGTGGGCAGCCCCCGGGGCCTGAGCCCTGCCCGGATGAAGGTTCACAGAACAAAGGCCTCGACCCAGGGCCTGACCCTGAATTTATTAATTCATGAAGCAGGGAGTGGCTGGGGAGTGAATGACTGTGAGAATGGTAGAAATTATGTGAATACTGTGGGCTGAGCTAGCTAGGACACTGGAAGTATGCAGAGAGAAGGGTATGTAGAAAGCCCAATCTGCAAAACACGATTGAGGCAGCATTTAATGTTTAGGGGGCTGGTTTGTGCCCCCTAAACATTGATGTGCAAACCTTTTCTGCCCTGGGAAGTCACAGCCTCTTATCTCAAGTCTCCAACCCATTTGACAGCCTCAGAGCAGTGGTTCTGCCATCCCGCCTGGCTTGGCTTAGGGAGGCACTGAGGCAGGGAAATGGCAACTGTCACCTACCTTCAAAGATTACATACACCTCAGCCCCTCAGCCAGCCCTATTTACATTGCTTAGAGCCAGCTGAAGGGAAAAGGAAATAAAGCCTGCCCCCTACTTATCAGTACCTGGAGGCAAAGCCAAGTATAGCCAAAGTTGAGGTAATGCTCTGTATTCAAGAAGAGTCATCCAGGTGGCCTTATACAGTCATTGACATGTCATGCAGACTAAGGAAGACCTGGAAACTTAAGGGCCACTTAAGCCATGGTCATGGGCACATCTGCAAGCACCAGACGCACCCCAGAGATTGGGGTAATACCGGTGGCATGTACTACCATGGGACCAACCTCAACAGGTATCACCTAGGCAACTTTGGGAAGGTTGGTATGAAGCACTACCATTTAAAGAGAAAACAAGCTGGGCGTGGTGGTGCACTCTTGTAATCCCAGCACTTGGGAGGCTGAGGCAGGACAATTATTTGCAAGTTTGAGACCAGCCTGGGCTAAAAAAAAAAAAAAGAAAGAAAGAAAGAAAGCAAGAAAGAGAGAGAAAACAGAGCTCCTTGATAAATTGTGCACATTGATCAGTGAGCAGACATGACTAAATGTGCCCAAAACAAGACTAGAGTAGCTCCCATCATTGATATGGTATGATCAGGCCACTACAAAGTTCTTGGGAAGAGAAATCTCCCAAAGCAGCCTGTTATTGAGAAGGCCAAATTCTTCAGCAGATCTGGGGAGAACATTAAGAGTGTTGTGGGGCAAGGGATGTCATGTCCTGGTAGCTTGAAACTACAGGAGAGGGGACTCATTAAATGTTAACAAATAGTTAAAAAAAAAAATAAAACACCTTACTAACTGAAAGGGTTTGGGCCCAGACAGGACACTGTAGCCGGGAAAGCCTCAACCGGAAGCAGGAAGCCCCTATCTCCCCCGCCCCTATTGATGGGTATTGATGGTCAACCTATGCCATTTACAAACAGGGCCTATTTTGTGCAGGTCCCAGTCCTAAATCTTAAAATGCCTTTTATACAGGCTTACTTAGACACACTGAGGCCTCAACAGCTTCCACCTGTTGTCGCTGGTGGACCTCTCCTCAGTGATATAAGGCCACTCCCTTCCTTTCTTGTTCACCAATTTGTCAGACAACCCTGGTCAAGACTGACAGATACATTTTGTCGTCTCACTTTGTTTATACTTTTTCAGGATACATAAAAGCCTTTCCCACAACCAGGTAAACTGCTGATACAACCAGGTTACAGCGACCCATGCCTAAATCAAAGTTGCTGGACTACCATCCTGGTTTCACATCACTCAGGCTAAGAGGTGCCCTTCCAGCCCTTAATCTGATCATTGTGAGTGGTCATCTCATCTTCTGTCACCTACCCATCTCCGTTTCACGAAGGCCTCACAGCCACAGTTAACAGGCTAAGTCATGTTTTGTTATTCACTTTGGTTCCTAATTTCTTACATTCTATTAATGATCATTTTTACAGCAGAACTCTTTAACAGTATTGCCTACAGACGCCAACGACATGCATACCAGAGACAAGCCTTACCAACCTACCTCTTAACTTTTATGCTTTCAGATGGGGGAGTATCACTTCTCATAACATCATTCCTCCTAATCCCACATTTAATTTTCAGAATTCTGCCTTACCGTGGAACATGTCTAAATCAAAGGCACCTTTCCCTCTACCTCACCTGGGTCCTTAAATATGACAGTGCCATGCCTCCTCATAACATCTTGTCTCTTTGTTTTTCCAGTCTAACATATGTGCATTCACCAGTGAAGTTGTCCTGGCCAAAACACCTGGCACCAGCGTCTACCTGGGCATCAACCTTCATCCCTTCGACTCCCCTAGGCTCCAGTACAGCGCCTTCTACCAGCAGGAAGTAGTTAAAGAGAGAAATCTTCGCCCCTTTTCATAATAATAATCATAAGACGGGATATGAAAGGGTTTTGGCCCAGACAGGACACTGTAGCCAGGAAAGCCTCAACCGGAAGCAGGAAGCCCCTATCTCCCCCGCCCCTAGGAAGTTACCTGTGACGCCATCTTCCCGCCCCTGGAAATTTACATATGGCACCAAACCTAGGAACAATGGGCTACCTGTACATCTCTAATGCCCGCCTTAGGTTCCACCCCAAACCGAGGCTATTTAGGTGAATTCAAGCAAAGATTGATTAACAGAGATAAAGAAGGCATAAAGGTACATCATACTGAAGAAAAAAAAAGAAGGCCATTATAACCTCATAAAGGGGACAATCCAAGAGGAAGAGATAATAATCATAAATATATATACAACATGCCAGTGCACCCAGCTATATAAAACAAATACTAATAAACATGAAAAATCAAATAAGCCCTAAGGTAATCATATTGGGAGATCTCAATATCCCACTGTCACATAAAGACAGATCAACAACACAAAAAATTAGTAATGAAATACTAGAACCAAACCAAACTTTTGAGCAAATGGGCTCAGTAGTTGTCTGTAGAGTGTTCCACCCCACAACATCAGAATATATATTCTCAGCTGCACACAGGATGTTCTCCAAAATACACCATATACTAGCCCACAGAACATGTTTAAGTAAATGCAAAGGAATTCAAGTTATTCCATTCATACTATGAGACCACAGTGCAATGAAATTGGAAATCCTTGGCAAAAGAAGCCACGAGAACTTCAAAAACACATAGAAATTAAATAAAACCCCACTGAAAAACCAACTGGTCACAGATGAAAGAAGAAATTAGACAATTTTTACAATTGAATAATAACAACAATACAACAAGTCAGAACTTATGAGACACAATGAAAGCAGTCTTAAGAAGAAAATTTATAGCAATAAATGCCCATATCAGGAAAACAGGGCAAGTACATATAAACAACTCAATGGCGAACCTCAAACTTCTAGAAAAAGAAGAGCAGGCTAAGCCAAAAGCTCATACAAGGGAGGAAATTATATGGATCAGAGCAGAAAGTAACATACTGGAGACTAAAAAACAATACAAAGAATTAATCAATTGAAGAGTTGGTTCTTTGAAAGATTAAATAAAATTGACAAACCTTTAGCCAGTCTTATCAAAAAATAAGAAAATTCTCAAATACATGCATTTAGGAATGAATAGGGTGAAATCACAACAAATCCTGCAGAAATTCAGAAGATCATGTATACCTACTTTGAGAACTTATAGTCAAAAAGATGGAAAATACAGAAGAGATGGGCAGATTCCTGGATACATATGAATTACCAAAACTGAATAAAGAAGATATCAAAATCCTTAATAATCCAATATTAATCAAGGAAATTGAAGATGTAATTAAAAACCTGTCAACAGGGGCTGGGGATTTAGCTCAGCGGCATAAGCGCCTGCCGTGCAAGCAGGCGGTCGTGAGTTCGATCCCCGGTACCGATAAAAAGGAAAAAGACAAAAAAAAAAAAAAAAAAAACTGTCAACAAAGAAAAACTCAGGGCCTGACAGATTCACTGCTGAATTCTACAAGAAATTTAGAGACCTATCACCACTACTTCTCAAACTCTTTACTGAAATTGAAGGGGAAGCAATACTCTCAAATACATTTGTGGAAGCAAGTGTTACCCTGAAACCAGAGAAGTATCCAACAACAAAAAAAAAGAAAGAAAACTACAGCCAAATATCCCTAGTGAGCACAGATGCCAAACTCCTCAACAAGATACTGGCAAACAAATGCAGCAAATCATCAAGAAGACTATATACCATGACCACATAGGATTCATCCCAGGGATGCAAGAATGGCTCAACATATGTAAATCAATAAATGTAATACACCAGATTAACAGAGCCAAGGACAAAAACCATACGATCATCTCGACAGATGCAGAAAAAGCATTTGACAAAGTCCAACACCTACTTATGATTTTTAAAAGTCCTACAGAAATTTGGAACAGATGGTCTTTATTTCAATTTGATAAAAGTTACCTCTTTCTGTTAGAAAGCAGGGATTTAGCAGTGGTGCAGCACCTGCCTGGCAAATGTGAGGTCCTGAGTTCAGTTCCTGGTACCCAAAAAGAAAAACAGTTATCTATGAAAATCCCACAATCAACATCATACTACATGGACAAAACCCAGAAGTTTTCAGTCTAAAATCAGGAACAAGGGCCAAGGATATAGCTCAATGGCATAGCGCCTGCCTGGCAAATGCGAGGTGCCAAGTTCGATTCTTGGTATAAAAATAAATAAATAAAATCAGGAACAAGACAAAGATATCCACGGTCACTGCTCTTCTTCAATATAGTTCTGGAGCAATTAGATTTAGATAAGAGAAATAAAAGGAATAAGGATAAGAAAGGAAGAAGTTAAATTAACATTATTTGTGGTTGACATGATATTCTACAAAGATCCTAAAAACTCCACCCAAAGACTTTTAGATTTAATAAGCAAATTCAGTCACATAGCTATATACAAAGTCAACATTCAAAAATCAATAGGATTCCTGTACACAAATAACAAACTCACTGAGACAGAAATCAGGGAAACAAGGGGTTGGAGACATAGCTCAGTGGCACAAGCACTTGCCTGGTAAGCACAAGGTCCTGAGTTCAATTCCCAATACTCACTCCCCCAAAATAAATAAAATTTAAAAACAGAAATTAGGGAAATAACACTTCATAATAGCACCCCCCCCAAAGTGAAATATCTAGGAATCAATCAACAGAGGAAGTAAAAGACTTCAATACTGAAAACTACAGTACTCTAAAAAAGGAGATTGAAGAGGAATCAGAAAATGGAAGAATATTTCTTGTTCTTGGGTAGGAAGAATCAATATAGTGAAAATGGCCATACTTCCAAAATGGTTGTACAATTTAAGGCAATCCTGATCAAAATATCAATAGCATAGCACACCTAATTAGAGAAAACAATCCCACAATTCATTTGTAATGAGAAGAAACCTAAAAGAGCAAAAGTAATTCTGGATGACAAAGAAAAAGCAGGGGCATTACAACCCCTGATGAGATTATACTACAAAGCTACTGTGATAAAAACAGCATGGTACTGGAGAGGAGGACAGATCTGAGGATCAACAGGACAGATTAGAAGATGCAGAAACAACTTGAAACATACTTAGCCATCTTGGCTTTGACAAACATGTTCACTGGAAGAAAGACAATGTCTTTAATAAATGGTGCTGGGAAAACTGGCTTTTTACATGTTGAAGATTAAAACTAGACACATATATTTTACCATGCACTAACCTAAAATCAAAATGGAACAAAGATCTAAATATTACAATAGAAACACTAAATCTGCTGGAAGATAGAAGAGGCAGAACTTTTGAAGGCACTGGTCTAGACAAAGACTTTAAAACCCCAGTTGCACAGGAACTATCACAGAGAATCAACAACTGGGATATCCTCTTATTAAAAAGCTTTTGCACAGCAAAAGAAACTACTAACAGAGTGAAGAGACAACCTACAGTGTGGGGGAAAATATTTCTCTAGCTGCTGCTCAAACAAAAGACTAGTAGCCAGAATTTAAAAAAAAAAAAAATCCACCCCCCGAATTGGAAGACCCAGTCCAAAATGGGTATGTGAAATAAACAGACATTTCTCAGATGAAGACTAGAAATGCCAAATGAATATATGAAAAAATGTTCAGCATCATTGGTCACTTGAGAAATGCAAATTAAAACCACACAGAGATTCTGTCTCACTCCAGAAAGAATGGCTATCATCAAGAAATCAACCAATAACAAATGCTGGAGGAGTTGTGGGGGGAAAAGAACCTTTCTCCACTGTGGGCTGTTGGCAGGGAGTGTAGACTGGTGTGACCACGTGGAAATCAGTGTGGGGGTTCCTCACAAAACTCGTACTGGAGGCCCATTTGACCCAGCTATTCCCCTTCTTGGTATCTTCATGAAAGAATTAAAAGCATCAAACCACAGCGATATATGTGTACCTATATGTAAAGTACCCCAATTTGTAATATCTAAATCTCATCAACTAGTGCCATCAACTTGTGATAAAGAAGATGTGGCTTTTTATACAATGGAGTACTACTCTTTCATAAAGGATAAGCTTGAGACATTTTATCTAAATGAATGTACTTGAGATCATAATTTTAAGAGAAATAAATTGGACCCACACGTTTAAATACTGCTTTGTTTCTCTGGTATAAGAAAGCTAAAGGACCCAAGTGTATGATAGATACAGGGAAATGGGCAGAAAATGTTCTAATAAGAAAGGGAAAAAGGGAGGGGCAGGCGAAAGGAAAGAAGTGACAAGAAAAAAAAAGAAGGAAAAAATGGAAACAGAGCTTCAGTAAATGAGGAGGAAGGGAGAGGGGCGGGAGGGAGAGGAGGGGACTAGGAAAAAAAGCAGCAGCCGGCTGCACCATGTCCGGGCACGAATTCCCCATGATGAGTGTCCCTGCCAACGCTTCAGGTTCAGCCCAGGGATCTGATTCTGAGTTTCTGGCCTCCAGAACTGGCAGTGAATACATTTCTGGGTGTTTCAGAGCTTTCTCACCTGATCCCCAGGACAGGAGCACAGCCAGGTCCCTGTCCAGCTGCTGCTCCTGGGTGCGCTTGCTTTTCAGGTCCCCTCCTGAAGGGGACATCAAGGTGCTGCAGCCCTGGTGCAGTCCTCATATCCTCTGACCTCTCTCCCTGCACGTTCTCACCATTCCCTTGGCTTTCAGATACGATTTATTTGTTAACATCCTCAAAATTTCATCTCCACCCAGACTTTCTTTGGGGCCCATGCATCTCCAGGGACAAACAGAGGACCTTTTGCTGGGCGTAGTGGCCCATGCCTGTAATCTCAGCCTTCTGGGAAGCTGAGGCTAGAGGATGGAAAGTTCGAACCCAGCGTGGGCAATTTAACAACTTTACTTAATCATTAACTGTAGAGAGGCCACACTGACTCCATTTTGTCTCAGACACATCCAGTTAACAGTATCTTGGTAGAAGGTGTAGGCCTTGAAACATTCCCGCACCCAAGGTGAAAACATAAGGTCCCATAAAGACAAGAAGCAAACAAGTTATATAACCTAAGCATGTGCAATATGAGTTTCTTTGTTTTTTATCTCAATAAAAGCTGCTTGCTCAGGCTGGTCGGGCAGTAGCTATTTTGCTGACCCCTGGTGTGTGCGTCCCTTTATTTTCCCTTTGCTTGCAGAACCCTTACAATCAACTCTTAAGTTAGCTTAACTCTAAATTAGCTTTCTGTAAGCCTCCCCGCCAACACACACACTTATCCATCACACAAGAACAGAAAGAATGTAGACACATGACCCAAGATTAAGGTCAAAGCCAGCCCAAGAGCCAGCCTAGAGCGCCAGGTGACAACTCCCAGGTACCCACCTTGGAGGAGTGGGAAAATTCACTAGTTCTAAATAAAAAGCAGCTGAGCACAAAAACCCATGGGTATTAAACTTCTGATGCCCCCTACTCTTGCAGAGTAACTGACTTTTTTTTTTCAACCCATTTCCAAATAAACCATCCTCCGTTGTTTTAAACTCCACCTCTGTCATTTGTTACTGCTGCCGCAAAGCAGTCCAAATCAAAGTGTTGGCAGTGCCAGCCTCCCCTGAGGCTGTAGGGGAGAACTTACCTTACCTCCTCCCACACTCTGGTGATCACTGGCAATCCTGGTGACCCTTGGCTTGCAGAAGCATCACTTCTGCCTCCACTGTCACTGGCCTGTCCTCTGTGTCCTTATGACTTCCCTGATCTTCTTCTCCTTTTCTTCAGTTCCAGGGATTGAACTAAGGACCTTGCACTTGCCAGGCAGATGCTCTGCCACTGAGCTATACCCCCAGACCTCCGATCCAACATGGCCTCAAGTACTTACACTGGCAACAATCCTGCGTCCAAATAAGGCCACATCATGACCCTCTGTGGTGGACATGAATTGGAAAAGTGTCACTTTTCAAGCTAGTACAGTCAGGCAAAGGGACATTTTAGGAGATCTTGGTGTAGAGATTGGGGCTGGCTGTTACCCTCTGTCTACACTTACAGGGAAGGGGTCATATAAGTACAGGTTGGGCTGAGCTATAGGAAAACTAAGAAAATTAACTGTATGTGGCTTCTATCCACAACTTGAAAATGTTCCTGATTCATGCTGAAAATATGTAGACAAAATTTAAAAAGTTATGACATAGCAGAGGAATTATTAGTTTTTTTTGTAAGTCACCAGAAAATTGTGTTTACTGGAATCAAGTGGGAAGGAGGACGCTTGTGGTTGGATGGCATGTGTGTAGGTGACACCGTTCAACAAGGCATAGTGGTCCAGGAAGGGCTCTCCCCACCTCTCTCACCAAGCACACGCTGCTGCCAGGTATGTAACTCTTAGCTTCAATAAATGAATGAAAGAAGGCAGAGTTAAGATAAAGAAGACGAGGGGCTGGGGATTTAGCTCAGAGGCATAAGCGCCTGCCTTGCAAGCAGGCAGTTGTGAGTTCGATCCCTGGTCCCGATAAAAAAGAAAAAGGCAAAAAAAAAAAAAAAAAAAAAAAGATAAAGAAGACAGTTTATTTGGGGGGAAAAGATGGAAAGTAAAACAGATTGATAGCTACCCACCCAAAGTTAAAGGACAAAAGGTTTATTTGGCTTACAGTGTGTGGAGATTCAGTTCATGGCTGGCTGGCTGGCTGGCACCAAGGCAGGGCAGCATGGCAGAGGAAACAGTTCATGGGAGGCAGAGGACAGCAAAAGCAAGCAAGGGTCGACCACAGCTCTTTCTATCCCTTGTGTATCTACTCAGGGGAGGCAGCACTCACATCTTAATCCTGGTGCCCCTGAACCTATACACGATGAATCAACCCCAGCATCGCACACTCTATATCCTCAGCCATCTCTGAAAAAGCCCCACCTGTGACTGAATGAGGCTTTGGGATACATGTGCATCCAGATACAAGCCATGGCATCACTCTTCAGCATTCTCAGTTGAGGAGGTTTGTTTTTGTGCTGGGGATCAAACTATGGTTCTCACAGGTGCTAAGTGCTGGCTCTACCACTGAGCTACTCTGTTCCCAGCCCAACTTGAGAGTTTTTCTTGTTTTGTTTTTTAAAGACAGTCTTGCTTAAAAAAAAAAAAGACAGTCTTGCTGTGGAATTGAGGCTAGACTTAAACAGACTATAGTCCAGATTGACCACAAACTTACAGTGATCCTCTTTAGGGGACCGTTGAAGCTGGACATTGATCAATGTGGGGCTACAGCAAGGCCAGCCCAGAAAAAACAGAGACCAAAACAAGCTATGTAAACAAGTTATTCCAGCAACAAGAAAACAAGGGATCCAGGCCTGCCAGGCAAACAAGTTGCTAGGCAGTGGGTTTCAAACTGACATTCTTCTTTGGAGGGTATACATAAACATGCTTGATTGGCTGAGCAGTACCCTACTTCCCATCAGGAGAGAAAGGGCTCCACCTGACCCCAGCTTTGTCTTGTCTTTATTTTTCTCATCCTCTTGCTGGTCCTTTACCCCAAGAACCTCGGGAGCTGCATTGGGTCACAGTCCTCTCCTGAGTACTGGGATTACAGGTATGTGCCACCATGCCTGGCTTTTTAAACTTTTTTAAAGCCTGCTGTAGAGGGAGAAAATAAAAACCAAAAAGTCTGAATTCACATCTCAGTCCATAATCAGTCATACGATTTAAGCAAGCCTTTCCCCTCTCTTGGACTCTTTTTATCTATGAAATCACGAGTTTTATTTTGTTTTGTTTGCTTTGTAGGGCGCGGGAGGCCTGTTTTGTTAAGGTGTAAACTGCACAAAGCCCAGGATGCCGTCCTTCTTGTTTCCTACCAGTGTCCCTAGTGCTTGGAACAGTGATAGTACAGGGTGCAGCTAGAAGGCAGATGCGTCAATGAAACCTGGCGCAGCACTTTTCCCGTGTTTTGTTAGTGCGCATGCGCTCAGAGAGCCTTCGGCTGGCTCCCAGGGCAGGACAAATTCCCAGGGGCTGCCGGGAGAAGATAACTGTTCTTTGGAGGAGCCGCAGCTCTAAAAAGCCTGCGGGAAGGCTCGCTGAACCACAGGGTGAATAATTGCATCCTGCGAGGCAGAGCAGAGGACCCAAATGGAGTTGCTATTAGTGCCATTAAAATCAATCTCGGTGATACACAAATGTGACGCAGTCTCTTGGTAATAATAGAAAATGGGATGCCTAGCTTTTCCACCATCTTCCACGTCCACACTTCTCCAGTCGTCTCCTCAGACACTATTTCTCTTTCTCTTTGTCAATGTAGGGGCAGACAAGGAAATAAACTGTGGCCCAAATGACTTCTGATTCTGATTGTACCAAGTCACTCTGGGCCTTCCTTTTATCTCTTATTTGCCTTCTTTAATGCAATTTAGAAAAAAAAGGTATATATTTGATTTGGGGATTGAACTCACAACCTTTACACTGAACTGCATCCTCGGCTTTTTTGTACTGCAACCTCGGTTTTTTTGTACTTTTGAGTCAAGGTCTTGCTAAATCACCATGCAGTTTAGACTGGTGTTTTGGGGTTTTTTGGACTGGGGATCAAACCTTGCGCTTTCCAGACAGGCGCTTATGCCGCTGAGCTAAATCCCCTACCCTGATCTTAAACTGTCGATCCTCCTACCTCAACCATCCAGAGTGCTGGGCTTATAAATAAGCATGCTTGAGAGTTATATCCCTTTTACAAATAGAGGAACCATGGCCCAAAGACACTGACATAATTGAAGGTCACATAATATTAGAGCCAAATTTCAGGTTTCTCTCAGCCATGGCTATGCTCTCCCAAGGCCGTAGTCTCTTTTCTCTGTGCGTTGTCTCCATGAAAGCACCAGGCTTTCTGCTTGATTCTGTTCCTTGCTGTAATCTCAGCCTGTACATTTTGGCCTGGCATGTGGACAGGGATTTTTGTTTGCCTTCAGCAGGCACTCAATACACATTATGTTTAAGTGGAGGAAAAAATTATTAAGAGCTGAGTGTGGTGATGCATACCTGCAGTCCTGGCATTTGGGAGGCCGAGGTAGGGTGAGCACCACAAATTCGAGACCAGCCTGGACTACACAGCGAGACCCTGAGTCCAAATACTTTTAATGAATAATTAGCGACGCACCACAACTGCGCCTGTGACTGAGCAAGTCGCGGCTCACCTCCGGATTTCTTCTATGGCCGGCTCGGCCGGGTCGCTCTTCCGACCCATAGGTGGCACTGTGGCGACCGGCGCCGCTCCGCAAGCAGCGGCGCCCTTCCTGGCTTGGCTGCACTTCCCAGACCGGAAGCGAAGCTCGAGGAACCGGAAGTGCCGGGGCCGCTTCAACCGCTGCCTCCGCCGCCCCCGCCGCCGCGGCCGCCTTAAAGTACGGAGTCCAGCGTCTTTAAGTACCGCGTCCGCCGCTGCCAAGAAAGCTGCTGTAGCTCGGACGGGAGCGGAGGCGGCGCGGCATGAAGCGGCGCAGACCCGCTCCGTAGTGCGTCGAACGGTCCGGGCGAGGCCGGGGGGAAGGTGCAGTATCCGCCCCTCTCCGCGCCTCGGCCCGCGAGGCCTGGGTCGCGGCCCCCGGGCCCTGCGCGTCTCCGAACGGCCGCCGTCTACGCCTTCCCCGGCCACTGGTTCCGCTGCCGCCCGCTCGGGGCCCAGCGACGGCGCAGCCGCCCGGCCGGAAGAGGGAGCACAGCTCCCAGGCGGCAGCGGCAAGGGCACGTCTGCGGGCGCCGCGCTGCTCGGGCCTCGCGGGGTCGTGGTCGGGGCGGCACCCGCCGCCGGGGATTCGGCCCAGGTTCCCTGCTCACCCCTGGGGTTTCCGGCCCCACTGCGTAGCGAGGTTATTTGGGCCCTATCGTAGCTGGCTGCGGGACGTTTTCTTGTCCAAGCGCCTCACGCGTTTTTGTCTCAGGCCCCTTCTCAAGTCTCTGCTGCCCCCATCTTCCTCATTCATAGCGTTTAAGGTCTTCGGTCCCTCGTTTTTTTTTTAAGGCAGGGTCTCCCTATGTACTTCAGACTGGCCTTGAACTCGGGGCAGTCCTCCTTCTCCAGCCTCCCAAATGCTGAGCCACCTCGCTGGTCACAGGATCTTCACCCCACTCTGACATAACGATTGCGGAGCTGACTTTGGACCCTGAAGCTGAAATGCCAGGCCTCCGCGAGGCGTGGGATGTTTAAATGCCCTTGAGTTTTAAAAATTATGGAATATGCTGTTGGAGTGGGTCCAAACCCGAGAGTCCTGGAGCTGTTTTATAGCACAGCGTGCTCTTCTGAGAGCCTTAGTGCCAAGAAACAGTATCTTCACGTCTTAGCCTGCTTTTTGCTGTGCCAGTATAAGCTCACCAGTATATTTCTCCTTGCCACTTTTCTCACCACATCTCACTCCAGCACCTACTTGAGCTATGGGAACCCAGGATTAAGGCTGAGCAAAGTAATGTAATGACAGATTTTTTTTTTTTTTTGAAAATAGACTAGGACAAAGTTAATGATTCTTTTTCCCAAAAAGTTACTACTTTGGTTATTTTCAGAGTATTGAAGCAAGAAAAAAAAAGGGGTGGGGGTACACTTAAAATGAGTAGGGTTTTTTTGTTTGTTTGTTTTTAGAGACGATCTCACTGTAGTTCAGGCCGACCTCAAAATTTTTGCAATCTGCCTGCCTCAGTCTCCCAACTGCTGAGATTACAGACATGTGTAACACCTGGCTAGAACAGTCTTTATCTTATTAAAAAAACTGAACATTTAAATTCAAATTCTTTGCCAGCCATGGTAGCACACGCTGGTAATCCCAGCCTTAGACCTAGCAGTCAGAAGGCTGAGGCAGAAGAATTGCTGTAAGTTCGAGGCCGGCCTGAACTGCATAGTGAAACCCTGTCTCAAAAAGACAAAAAAAAGGGGGGGGGGAGGCCTGGGGATTTAGCTCAGCGGCAGAAGCGCCTGCCTTGCAAGCAGGCAGTAGTGAGTTCGATCCCTGGTACCATTGGAAAGTAAAAAGACAAAAAAATAAAAACAAGTTCTTTTCCTTGGGGCAGAGATAGTGGATCATTCTTGTTTCTCCTAGTTGATTCTAAACAACTTGATGTAACATGTTAAAAGAGGAACATGAATAGGCAGGAGGAAATAAAGTTTACCGTTTTGGGAGGCTTTGCTATAGATACTTACTAACCTCATTTTGGTGTAGTATATCTATATTCTTTTGTATGTGTATCTATGATTTTTTTTTTTTTTTTTTTTTTTTTTAGTTCTGCAGATTGAACTCTGGGGCCTTTGCACTATCATGCATCCTAGCTTTTTTTACATTCTTATTTGAACCAGGATTTCTTACGTCACCAGGTTGCCTAGATGTGGCTCAAACTTGCAGTCCTCCTGCCCTCATCCTTGCATTGCTGTGTTTACAGGCGTGCAATACCACATCCCATGTCTGGTTTCCCTTGTTTAATTTTATTTTTTTGTCTTTTTTTTTTTTTTTTTTAATCGGTACCGGGGATCAAACTCGACCACACACTTGCAAGGCAGGCGCTTATGCCACTGAGCTAAATCGCCAGCCCCCCCCCTTTTTTTTTATATTTTTGAGATAGTGTCTCACTATATGGTTCATGCTGGCCTTGAACTCACAGTGATCTGCTTCACCTTCCCTAGTGCTGGGATTAAAGGCTTGAGCCTCTAAATCTGGCCTGATTTACTTTTTAAATTAAGCCCTTTCATAATTTTCCTTTTAATGTGTGTCTGGACTTAAAAGACTTATCTATGATTGGGCATTCTTTTGAGTAAATGGGCTATACAGAGCTACATAAATTTTTCAGCTTTTGATAATGCAAAGTTGTAGACATAAAGGAATTTAGGTGTCATGTAGTATACCAAAATGAATTCTGTATCAGTTATAAGTATCATTTTGGTACTTTTTAGGCTTAATCTTTTTTTACTACATAGGGTCCATTTTACTGTAATATTAATCAGTGGTCTTACATCTTATTTCATTATCCTGCTGAACAGGATTGGATGGTGAGAGAAGGAAAGTTTCCTCTGAGAAGAGAGCAGAATGAGCAGAAGGATCCGTACTTGAAACTGAGTGACTTGAAAATGATATCTTTGAGTGTGGAAGAGATCTGAACAGATGAAAATACAATCAGGTAGGCTTCAGGAAGGGCTCCTAAAAGAAGAGGTTGATGGGGCAGTAAAATCTGTGCCCTTTGTTGACCATGTATGCTGCCCCTAGGCAATTCAGGCCACATATTTTGAGTATCTGTATAAGATGTGACCAAATTCTGGAAGGTAAGTCAGGTATACCCTTGCATGAATCACAGATCTGTCCTAGAAAAGTCAGAATGAATAAACTGATTAGACATACACTGTGTGTGTGTGTATACATTTATGTGCAGAGAAAAAGAGGCGACCAAGATAATTTTAGGTACAAACCAATGCAACTTTTATATAGGAGAAATGTGAAGTTAACTCATGAAGCTTGGCAATAAGGCTTAGGAAGTCTTTCACCTGGGCTTCTCCCATCTTAAAAAAAAGGTTTCACATTTACTACAAGAGAAATGAGCCCGGTGTGTATAGATTCTTTTACTTGTTTTTTGCTTCATTAGATAGAAAACTAAGTTCATTGACACGTGATAGAAAGGAGACCTCCAGTAACTCTTTAGAGGAGCAAACAACATGGATGATGCTTATCAGTTGAACTAAGTGACTTAATTTTCTGCTGAGCTGTTTTGGATTCTAATGTTGAAAGTAAATGCCCAGTGATGATAATAATGCAGCTATATCGGATGTAAATAATAAGTATCCTAGTTGCCTTTGCAACTGCTACATTGAAAATCCCATATACATAGCAAGAAAAATGATACAGTATACCCAGAGCACACTGTTTAGCCTGTTTGCATGCCAATAATATATACCAGATGGATCAGTTCACAGCCTACACCAGCTAATAACTTTTTCTCTGTTAAAGTTATTTATCATGAATTCATGTTAACCTGCAAAATAGAGCTTTAAAAAGCATCATCTTAAGCATACCAGCTGTATGTGGATTTGTCTCTTGAAGTTGTTAAACAATTATGGTTACACAAGTGCAGTTAAGGTTATCTTCAATTCATAATTGTTTTTCAACCAATTAGTTGAAAGAGCAGTTTGTTCCATTATTATTATTATTATTATTATTATTATTATTTTGTCTTTTTCCTTTTTATCAGTACCAGGGATCGAACTCATGACTGCCTGCTTGCAAGGCAGACACTTATGCCACTGAGCTAAATCTCCAGCCCCAATGTTCCATTATTTTTTATGTTGTTGCTTTTTGGTAGTGCCATGAATAAATACATGCTAGAATCTCATGTTTTATGACAACATGTTTTTTTGGGTTTTTTTTTTTAGCCAGTCAAATTTAGCAGTGGGGGGGGGTGGTATACCAACTTTAGTGACACTAATGTTAATAAGTTCTGATAACCCACTGCCATCGGACCAGCGACAACATGTTTTGTTATTTAATACTTTTAAGTTAAATTTAAATATTAGAAAAGATAAAGGAAAAAAATGCATCTTCTAGATTTCTAAAATAAGCATTATTAGTACATGTGATAACACTTAGGAGATTGAATTGGTAAATTGAGTTCAAGCTTATAGCAAAATATTGATGGAAAAATTAAACACTTTCTTCATCAACTACTTCAACTAATTAAAGCCACCTAGTATCTTTTCGTGAATTACATAGTGTACAACAATAGTCCTGTCAGTTTCCTTAAAATATCGAGTCACAGCAGGTGTTCCATGGTAATTATGTCTAGTCTGATGCCTTTGCTGAAGACTTCGACAAGTACCAGCCAGGTAAGTGTTTCATTGTTTAGAGTTCCATTTAAATAAGTGCCCTAGGAAGATTATTACAAGTATATGGCTTGGGGGTCTGGGGATTTAGCTCAGAGGCATAAGCGCCTGCCTTGCAAGCAGGCAGTCGTGAGTTCGATCCAAAAAAAAAAAAAAAACGAGTATATGGCTTGTAACAATGTCTTTACTAATCTAATGGGTTGTGGTTACTTTTCTTAGCTAGGGAGATCCACGTTTTTCTTAGCTAGGGAGATCCACGTTTGTCAAAGGTGCTACATTCCTAAAGGCAGCAGCACACTTACTCCCTTGGTATGATGAACTTTGCGATTGCCACACTTGGTCTTGGTTGGAGGGTAGCAGCCACCTGGCATGCAGCCTGTTTCCTTCCAGTGTGGAAAAGAAAAACAATTTTTGGCAGGAGATACCTAAGGAGAACCTTTCATAAAAGTTCCCCAAGGGATTTCTAGTCACCGTGAACTTGACATGACCTCAGTGTTTTAAAATGTCATTTTAAAACAGCCCAGAAAAGGGAGAGCTGTTGCTTTCTTACTAGGTCTCAATGCAGCTGTGCTGGAAAGAATCTTCCTTGGTGGTGTTTTATTTTTTGGCCCATCAGACTGTCTTCTGGACCATGTGGAAAACAGCACTGTGAGCAGCTCTGTGTGCCTTGTTTTCTAGGAAAATGCAACATGGCAGCAGCAATGGAGACAGAGCAGCTGGGTGTTGAGATATTTGAAACTGCAGAGTGTGAGGAGAATATTGAATCACAGGATCAGCCCAAATTGGAGCCGTTTTATGTGGAGCGATATTCCTGGAGTCAGCTTAAAAAGCTGCTTGCCGATACCAGAAAATACCATGGCTATATGATGGCCAAGGCACCGCATGATTTTATGTTTGTGAAGAGAAATGACCCTGATGGGCCTCATTCGGACAGGATCTATTATCTTGGTGAGTATAAAGTCACAGTTCTGAAAGGAAATACTTTCTGAAGTCAGATTTAAGGACAGATAAAATTTGTATTCACATTTTGGTGAATAAGCCGGACAAGGTAGTGCATATCTGTAATCTTAGCTGCTAGAGAACCTGAGACAGGATTATAAATTCAAAGTCAGCCCCGGGCAATTTAGTGAGACCTTGTCTCCAAATAAAAAATGGGAAAAGGGGCCAGGAGTTTAGCTCAGCGGCATAAGCCCCTGCCTGGCAAGCTCGAGATCTTGAGTTTGATCCCAGGTACCAAAAAAATGGTGAGGGAGCAGGACTGGGCTTGTAACTCAGTGGCCTCTGATTTGATCCCCGGTGTAGGATGGGAGGAGGGAATTTGGTGAAAAAATAAGCAAATGTTTCTATTAAAAGACAAAAAATCCTTTTAATTTGAAGAACTGTGTGAGACCTATTTTAATTTTGGTTTGGCTTTTTTTCCCCAGAAATTGGACTCAGGACCTTACGCTTGCCAGGCAGCACTGTGCCACTGACCTATATCCCTGCCCCTGTCTCATTAACTTTAGCAGATAACAAATGATGAATTTTTTGTTTGTTTATTTTTTGAATTTTTGAGACAGGTTTTCACTGTGTAGTTCAGGCTGGTCTTGAACTCACTGTGTAGCCTAGGATGATCTCAGACTCAAGGTGGTCTTTCTGCCTCAGCCTTTCCGGTGCTAGGATTACAGGTGTGTGCCACCATACCCAGCCTCAAACTGTGATTTGTTCATGATCTTTTTCAAAGTTAAGGATGTCAAACATTGCTTTTTTCTAATTTAAAAAGTCTCTCCTTTAGAATGTCAAATTAGAACAAACAAAATTACTAGTTTGTTCCGATTCTTAATAGCTGCTGCTTTCATTTTTTTAAAAGTTGGTTTTGGTCTTTTTTTCCTGATTCTATTCATTGTAGATTTAAATTTTCTAAAATACACACATACGTTCCTTGACTTGTTTGTATGTATATATGTGCATATGCACGTGTGTTAGGGTCTGAACCTAGGGCCTGGTGCAAGCTAAGTACATACTCCACCACCGAGTTCTACCTTGAGCTCTGATTTTAAAAAATAAGTTTGTCTTCCTTCAAAGCCGTTTGTCATACATTTCATTGATTCATTGTGTATATAAGGATCTTTTTAGAGATATTGTTTGCTGAGTCTATATAATTACAGATTTTTTTTTTCTTCCCATAGAGTCTCGCTATGTAGTCTAGGCTGCCCTTGAACTTACGATGTAATCCAGGCTGGCCTCAAATTTGTAGCAGTCTGTCTACCTTGGCCTTCCAAGTACTGGGATTACAGGTGTCTACCACCATGCCTGGCTAGATTCATTCTTTTTTTAACAACTTCAGAGTGTTATATAATCGTGCCATGTTTAATTTACTGAGACCCTAGTAATAATCACTTAAGGTTTCTTTGTGATTATGCAAAGAGGAGGCAGTGTCACTGTATTGGATCATTTTGCGTATGTGTGAATATATATAACTTATAGAACTAATTCCCAAGAGCAGCACTGCGTGGACAAAGCATAGAACTGCTTGGAATTATGATTGATATCGCTGAATTTTCCCTTCAAAAAAGCTACTAGGCTTATGGTACCCCCACAATTTTCTCAGAACATCTATCTCTCCATACTCACAGTGACACTAAGTAAATAATGTTTTTGGTCTTTCACAGTGTGATTAGTGAACAGAAACCTCATACTGTACCTCTAATTTCTCTTACAGGTGAAGTTGAGCATCTTTTTGCATATTTAAAAGCCATTGTATTTATTCCCTTTCTGTGAATGATCTGTTTATAAACATTTTATGGTATTAGAGGGTAAATGCAAGGCCTACATGTGCTAGACAAGTGCTCTATACCACTGGGCTGCATTCCCAGCCCTTTGAGTTTCTTAAATTTTGAGACAGGGTCTAGCTAAAGTTGCCCAGGCTGGCCTCAAACTTGGAAGTCCTTTTGCCTCAGCCTTTTGAGTAGCAGGGTTTCAGATGTGCACCAATACAGCTGACTGTCTGTGCCTTTATAAAATTGAGTTGGAGTTCTTTTTCTTAATGACTTGAAGCATTTTATAAAGCAGGACTTTCCCTTGGTGATATTTTTCTCTGAGATTTTTTGGGGATGGGGTTTTACTATGTCCCCCAGGGTGCCTGGAACTGAACAGCCCTCCCATCTTCACTTTCTGAGTAGTCAGGACCTCAGGCTTCTACCACTGTGTCCAGCATTCAACAAGGTCTCATTTGTCCTTTGCCATTAGTGCCTTTTGCCATACTGAAATTTGTGATTTTTTTTTTGATAGTTAAAATTTTACTTTCTGTAAGTTTGGCCTATCTAGAAGGTCTTTCCCAACTCCAAGATTGTTTTAAAAATCTTAATGTTAGGGTCTGGGGATTTAGGTCAGTGGCATAAGTGCCTGCCTGGCAAGCATGAGATTGTGAGTTTGATACCCACTACCAAAAAAAAAAAAAAAATCTTACTGTTTTCTTCAACACTTTTACTGAATTTTTTTAACTTAATCTTTGTATCATTTCTTTTTCTTTTTTCTTTTGTTTTGAGACAGGGTCTCACTATGCAATTCAGGCTGGCTTTGAGCTCATTTTGTTGTCCACTCTGGCCTCTGGCCTCAAACTCAGAGCAGTCATCCATCCTCAGCTTCTTGAGTGCTGGGATCACAGCTGTGCCCCATTGCTCCCAGCTTAAAATAACTTTTATCTGAATTCTTACATATTCTTGTTTGTTTTAAGGGGGTCTAAGATTTGAATATCAAAATGAAACATCATTTTTCTGTGAAAGCTTGTTTTTCTTAAATGTGCACATGCTACATACTTACTATAGATCCCACAGAGTGTAAAGTGTAGTATGGGGAAGGCATGATGTACTTCTACTATGATTACAATAAGAATGCTGTTTGAAATAATAATAAAGGATTGTTTTTCTCATAGCCATGTCTGGTGAGAACAGAGAAAACACACTATTTTATTCTGAAATTCCTAAAACCATTAACAAAGCAGCCGTCTTAATGCTTTCTTGGAAGCCGCTTTTGGATCTTTTTCAGGTAAGACTGAATATTGTTATTCCTGTGATGTGGTGTGTACTTTCAGATACTGCCTGTACATGTATTTACAGGGAGAGTTGATACAGTGGGGATTTTATATTTGAAGTAGATATGAATCAAAAGAAATTAAGATATTTTGGAATTTTGTTCCATAGGATTCTTAACGTGTGAAACTAAAGGATATTTTGATTTCTTTTAAGTTTCTTTTTCCTTCCATAAACTTTATAGTTAAGTAGTTCTCATATTTTTTGGAGGGGGTGTTGGCATAACACACATACACATATCTCTGAAAAGGCTTTAAACTTTAAATTGAATTTGTAGTTGTAATGCTTAGTAACAGCACTGACAAAAATACTAAATTCAACTTTTTGCTGCTAAATTTAGGTAAATTGAACACATAAGTGTTTAAAAAAAAAAAAAACAACATAAGGGTTTTTTTTGTTTGTTTCCATTCAATATTTTTCCTTTAGACAAAAAAGTAAATAGTTGAAAATATCCCAAAGACAAGATGTTGGTTTGGATGCAATTGTTTGCATTTTTGATTTTCAATTATAACTTTTTATGGGGAATTTTCTTCTTGAAAGACACATTTATACAAAGAACTAAAATATGATACTCTTTTTTTTTTTTTTTTTTTAATCCATACCAGGGATCAAACTCACAACTACGTGCTTGCAAGGCAGGCGCTTATACCGCTGAGCTAAATCCCCAGCCCCTAAAATATGATATTGTGAAGAATTTTTAAAAAATCACTTCCATGACAACTAGCTGTTTTGGTTGCAGCTGTTTATTTCAGGTGTTTTTTTTTTTTTTTTTTTTTTTTTTTAACATAGTCTGTGACTTTAAAAAATGGTTCCTTGAGGCTGGGGTGTACCTGAGTGGTAGAGGAGTGTCCCCCAACCTTTTTGGTACAGGAATGCAGGAAGTAGAGGAAATTAGTCGTGCGTATTGGATTTGCTGTGCGTTTTATTTCTGTTACTGTGCTTCCTTCAACAGCATACACACTAAGCTATTTCTGTTTGTAATATATAATGAAATACTGGTACAGCTCACCACAGTGAGGGGGAGCCAGGAAATCATTTTCTTGCCGCTGGACAGCTCCATGTGGAAGTGATGGGGACCAGTGACAGTGAAAGTGTGTTGTTGATGTCCAGTCTACGCTGTAATCTTGTTTTGGTTGCTGTTGCTGCAGAAAACCAGCTTCACACAGATAGGATGTTGGAAATGGAAGTAGGCTTTTCAGTATTTTCATGGCAATCTCAGGATACTCTACCTTGACCTTAATCCACAATGTGTACAGAGATGAAATTGTCACAAGCATAGTTTTAAGACCATTGACATTTGCAGTCATAAGCAGTTGGTCTTCTTGTGTGTGCAAAGTTCATTCACCTGGCTTATTCACTAGTAAGTTGTGGATCCATTCTTTCCCAATTTGGGAGGCTTTTACGGTTGGGAAATAATACTCAGACTCTTTTGAAAGCTGCAGTAAGTGGTCGTGCACCAGGTGGCAGAAGGAAGACTTCCTCAGTCTCTTTCAAAATCTGTTAATGTTTGAAACATTCAGAAAACTCCAATGCAAGCCAGACGTGGCGGTGCTCACCTGTAATCCTAGCACTTGGGAGGCTGAGGCAGGAGGCTTGCCACAAGTTCAAGGTCAGCAGAGGCTGCATAATTAGTTCAAGATCAGCCTGCACTACATGATGAGATCCTCTTTCAAAAAACAAACAAACAAAGCAATATTTACTCACTACTCCCATATTCATTTTGCTGTTTACCTACTTCCTTGCACCCAGTTGCTGTTCTCATTGAAGTAACCAAGTTTGTGGAACAGGTTGAATATGTCAGATAAGCAAATTTTACTACCTATTCTCTGTTGCTGAAATGTGCTGCCAGTAGAAACTGTTTTTTAAAAAACAGATCTCTGGAGCAGCTCTCAAACTCAAAAAACTGGCCAATGATCTACCTTTAGAAAGCCTTCTCACTTCTGTGTAAGAGAAAATGTGTGTGTTCTGTATCCATCTCCTCCTTACAGAGTTACATTAATAGATGTGAGTTAAGGGTCTATACTTTAATGCTGTTGATACTTTTAATCACATCCTGCAAAACGTTAGGTACAAGTGACATTTTTTGATTAGCCAGCATCTCTTTTGTTGCTGTTTTGTTTTTTTGAGACAGGATCTCACTGTGTAGTTCAGGCTGGCCCTTGTACTCACTATATATGCTGGCACTGAACTCAACAGCAGTCCTCCTGCCTCAGCCTCCAGAGTGCTGGGATTACAGGTGTGTGCCACCATGCCTGGCAAGTCAGCATTTCTGTGAGTATTCACACTCAGAAGTGACCTCTTTGATCCATGTGGTGAAATCAGAAAGCTGTCCAGCTATGGCAGCTGCTCCAACCATGTAAAGACTGGCACAAAATGTTTTCCTGATATATAGTTACAGACTTGAATAGTTTTCCTGATATATAGTTAAAGACTTGAATAGTTACACAGCTATTATGTGATTGGCAACAAAAGTACATAAAATGTCATCCTCCTGAAAAATACCTTACACAAATACAAGCATTGATTAGTGACTTGTCAACTTTGAGAGATTCATCAACCTGCATTGTACACTATGGTGACTCCTTAATCCTCTCTTAACAATTGTGCCTTGGTATCTTCTGCTATTTCATCTGTTCATCTAGTGGTGCTGCCAGCTGAAAGAGGAGCACGTGCCACCTTTAGAACTTCAGAAGTTTGCAACAAGTGTCCTTAGCAGCAGGCAAGATCAACTCGTTGTCAATAGTAAAAAGCTCTGGCAGTGCAGTTAGTCACTTAGAGTGGTGTTCTCAGTACAGACACTTTTCATGAAGTGATGGGCTTCAATACTTGCTTCTGTTCTTTGTATTTATGGTTTTTCTTTTGGAAAGTTCCGAAGGCTGGTCTCCATATGGCAAAGCAGTTTTGAAGATTCTGTGACCAGTACCACATATTACACCAAGTGGACTTGGAGAATGTGAATCATCTGTTTTATTGAACCTGTGATTAAAATAGAATTCTTGGTATTTTATTTTAAATGCAGCTTCCTTTTTGTTGGCAGTCTTAAAGAGGTTTTTTTTTTTTTTTTTTTGGTCTTTTTCCTTTTTATCGGTACCGGGGATTGAACTCACAACTGTCTGCTTGCAAAGCAGGCGCTTATGCCACTGAGCTAAATCCCCAGCCCCGTGTTAAAGAGTTTTCTACTGTCTCATCATTGGGTCTTTCCTCCTTTTCCAAGAAGCTTTCCAGTGATGTCTGGTTTATATTCATTTGGTCTAGGGTTAACTGTGGGCTTAGCACAACTGTGACTGAGGTAAGTATAGGTTGCAGGAAAGAGACAGAGATGGAAGTGTTAAGTAAAATAACTGGTGGGTCACAGTGGACTAAAATAAGTATCAGATTCTGACCTAAAGCCTGCAACAGATGCCCCTTCATTGCAACTTGCCACTTGCTGACAGGGTTTTGAGTCTGCAAGCAATTGATATATTAGTATTGTCTCTGCTCTGCAGTCAAACCTCTCTGTTAATGTGAATCTGTATTTGCAGCCACTCCTCAGTGCTAGCTAGCATCACTGCTTCAATTCGACTTCAGAACATCAGCCATTAGATTCTTACAAGGAGCACGCAACCTAGATCCCTCACAGGTGCAGTTTCCAGTAGGATTCGAATTCTCTTAAGGATCTGATCTTACAGTATTCGGTAATCCTGGCAGTGGGGAGCAGCTATAAATACAGATGCAGTTTCTCCCAATAGCTGTGAAGTCTCCTGGTGTGTGACTGGTTTCTGTCCGGGTCCAGGACAAGGGCTTGAAGCCCTGTGCTTTAGATCATATTGATTGTGTCGTTGAAATTTCTATTCTTACTGTTTTTTCTCTGTTCTATCAGTTATTTAGAGAGGAATATTAAGATCTCCAACCATAATTGTAGATTGGACTTTTTCTCTTTGCAGTTTTATTAGCTTTTGCTTTGTGTGTTTTACAACACTGGGGGTTGAACCTAGGGGCTCACATGCACTCTACCACTGAGCAGCATCCTCAGTTCTTTTTCTAATTTGCCCAAATTGTGATTTTTCTGTCTCAGCCTCTTGAGCAGCTGCGACAGTAAGCATGTGCGATCACATCTGACTGCTTTATCTATTGTGTAGCTATGTGGTGAAGTCTGTAACTAAAAACGATTATTTAGTATGTCCTGGTAAACTGATCTCTTTGTTATGAAATGACTATTTTTGTTTCAGGTAATAATCTTTCTTCCAAAATTTTCTTGCAATTAATATAGCAACTCTAGTTTTCGTTCAGTTATTGCCAGCCTGAAATACCCTTTCCATTCCCTTTTTAACAACTTTATAGTGATGTAATTCACATACCATACAGCATGTTTAATATTTTCAGTTTGCTAACTGATAGAACTGTGGGGGGAGGAAGACTGGCAGTGGCTGAAAAGTTAAGAAGTATGAAATATAAATGACCTTTATTTTGGGAATGCGGGGAGAGACACCCCTGACCCCCTGGGGCGTGGCATCTCCACCGCAGGGCTGGCGATCTCTCCGTGGAACACGTGGAGTGAGGCACGTAAGTAGCGTCGGCTTTGGGTCGGCTAAGGGGCGTTAGGGATGCACAGGTAGCTCATTGGTCTTTGTTTGGCGCCAGAGGTAGATTCCTAAGTGGGGGGAGATAGGATCTCCTTGGCTTTACAGGCTAAAGTAATCCTGCCTGGGCCAAAACCCTTTCACTAACCATTGCCATAGTCTAACTTTAGACCATTTTTGTCCTCCCCAAAAGATATCCTTACTAATTACTGCTCATCCAGCTCTCCCTCCCTCCTGCCAGGCCCCGTTAACAACTAATCAACTTTGGTTCCCTCAATTTGCCTATTGTGAATATTTCACATAAATGAAATTATATGGTAATAGTTCTTTATGACTGGTTTCTTTCACTTAACCATAATATTATCTAGATTTATCCACATTGTAGCAAGTAACAATA